ACAAAAACTGTAGCAATGGGCCGAAAATTGTAAGTTATTGAAAATGCATGTCTTCACCCTGATGACATTAACTTAGTATGTTTCATTCACTCACCCAAACATTCTTTATTTATTCCTTTCGATTCGGATTTATTCGAGATATTTCATGTAAATGTCATCAAAGCTTCACATATGCCTTCGTTTGTAATCAAAATACGCCCATCCGGTGACGTCACACTGGCGATATATCGATCTGTAACATTCCGGAGTTCGCCTAAAGTTCTTCTATTTAATCTAGCTCCAGCTAATAGAACGCGGTCTTCTTGATAAACAAGGAGAGTAGCTCTGCTTTACCTATACCTATTTTGCCTACATCTCCCAATTTGGCTAACCCGTCGACGCTAGATTCGAGTGCCTTTTGAGTTACGATCTGAGTTGGCGGGTATAATCAGCAGCAAGAGACCAAAAACTATTTTTGAAGTGGTCGTACCACTTATTCCCAGCCAAAGTCAATGTCGATTCCCGTTTTAGATCCCGGAAATCCTTCGCAACCGACAAGGATGTGCTAGATATTTAGAATCGAGCCAGGGTAGGCTTATCTAAGTATATTCGATAATAAGCGAACATGCATATAGTTTTATATAAAACTAAATAAAACTACTCTTAAATAAAACTATATCGATGTAGCTGGAATGCTGGAGGGGTGTGTCGCAATTCTTTGTCCAAGTTCACTCTACTCGCCTCGGATGTTCATTTGAAATTAATCGACCGAATCGAGTTTGGCGAGAAAATTCACGAAATTATTTTTCCATTTGAAAGAATGACATGTCCTTCATAACGTTCAATTTTGAACGCGAAAATGCCACACAAAAGAGAATGGCCGGTAACTTGTCACCTTGTTAAACCTCCTTTCTGTTCGAAATAAATCGTTAACTCCAAGATTAGCAACCCGAAAACCAACATATACAGACTGAAGAATATTTATGTAATGTTTGTTGATGGGAGTTGATTATTGACCAAAGTTTATCCATTTTAATGCTATCAAAAGATTTGGCAAAATCACTGATGACCATATGAATGGGCTTATTGAATTTTCTATTGATTGCCCAGTCAGTCTGTTCATTGTCATCACGACCAGATTGTTAAACTGCATGGGATTGATGGCAGAGCAAATAATGATCGCATGTGATCTAACTGTTTATGATGATTTTCTAAGTGTAGCTTAGGATGTGGTACAAGGCCGAAAGTATGGGGCACTCAGTGAGAATCGAACTCATTATTCAGCCGTAATTGATCTAGCGAGATAATGTTGTTAACCATTACCCCACGTCAAAGTGCACTTGATCCAAAAGCTTGTGATTATCATAAAACGTGGCTTCCCTCTATCTTTTCTGTAAAGATCTTTATGGAAATTATTCTAATGAGATCTCCTTTTCGGTACCCCAACCGCATGAATGTATTACTACTAGTCAACTAGGACTCATCATTTTACTTTTGAATTAGCTAGATGTAGCCGTAAATTCTATTCTAATAGTTTCTTTTCTCGCACTTCTCGCCCGTGGATCTCTTATCCGGTTTATTGCTTCTCTGCTACGTAAGATCTTTAAAAAAATATTAAATGCTATGCTAATCGCCATCTTCCGACTTCCCGAAATCTGTTCTTTTATTGTCCTTTCTCCTCACTAAAGTCTTCTCATTCTCATTCATTCTCAGTAACCACTTGCGTCTTACAGTGAAATGATTAAAAGTAAAATAAGTAAAAAAAAAGAAAAAGTAAGACTTATGAGTCGATAGATGCTGCATTCGTCCTTTTTAAATACAAAACTACAATGAGTATTTTTTTAGAAGTAGATGGTATCTAATCACTTTTCGATAATCATGTTGAAAAATTTCTCAAGAATATTCATAAAGATGTCACCCTTGCTTTTCGAAATTCTGCATGAATCGAACCGATGACAGAGATTTACGCGATTTCAACGTTTTAATAAAAGATATACTTTCTTCAGAATTTCACTTGGAATTTGAATTTCGATATCCTGAATTTAAAGTGTTGCAAAAGTCGATATCGCTATAATGGCCCAATCTTTTTAACCCCCACCCCTTTAAATGTATCTAACTTTATCCTTAAAGCCCAATCCAATGTTCATTTTAATGATTGTCAGTTCTTTAAAGGCAAGGAAAAAATTATTATTTGAGATTAGAAAGTTCTTCGAGACTGTCATTGAGATGTGTAACAAGAGCGGCTTTTCTCTGGTGGCGGTCAAAATATTAAATTTATCATATGTAGATGACATAGCCTTAAAAAAAAAACAGTGACTTGATTGAGGTCGAAATATACTAAACCATCTTCTCCATAAGGCAAAGAAATGATCCTTGAATTGAACCACAAGAAGTCTGAAGAAACAGGACATAATCACAAGTTAACATTTAAATAAATGGAACAAAAATTGATGAAGTGACTTGTTCACAAGCTATTTTGTAAGAACAACAAAGAAATTGCAGTAAAACACTAAATAAACTTTGTATAGGCTGCTTTTGGAAAACATAAGGCTATGCTAAAATCAAAAAAGTACCAATCCAATCGATTGATCTATCTATCTATCTATCTATCTATCTATCTATCTATCTATCTATCTATCTACACACACACACACACACACACACACACATATATATATATATATATATATATATATATATATATATATATATTGTATTTGAGGGGAAATCCTTCTTTTATTAATGTTTCATTAAATATAACGAAGAATAATTTTTGCAAGCCCTCTATTCAGTTGTTCTAACGTTATATGTGTACACACACACACACACACACACATATATATATATATATATATATATATATATATATATATATATATATATATATATAAATATATAAAGGAGAGTAATAATATTAATTTTCATTTTTTCTTTCAAAAATCAGTGATCTAAATGCACTCCAAAAATTTGTGAACCATCTTTCCCATAAGACAGAAAATGGTCCTTGAATTAAACCTCAAGAAGACTGTTTCAATGCCAACAAACAACATCCAAATAAATGTAAGAAAAATTGAAGAGAAATTTTGTTAATCCTGGTCTTGCAGGAATGACCAAAAAGTTGCAATACAACGCCGAATAAGCGTTTGGTTGTTTTTTTGGCTGGGGAGGCCATATTGAAATCAAGAATTCACACTAAAATGAAGATCTACTTTGTATACCTTCTCCCAGTTGTTTTATATGGATTAGATTTTTTGATATTGACTCAAAAACTTTCAGCTCGAATTAAAACATTTTAAAATCATAAGCTGTGCATCATAACATGTCACAAAAATGACAGATAAAGTGAAAATAATTGCCCTTATAAATAATTGCCCTTATAAATGTAATCAATTTACCTTAACTCATTAATACTCTCCACAGCAAATCCTTGAAACTATTTGAACCCATTAAAAGATCTAGTGCAGAGCTAGCTATATTGTGCCTTTAGGGTTTTGTGTTTGGAAAGAGAAGTAAAGAAAAACCAAAACAGAGGTGGAAGTTACTATTTGTGGTCACCAACTAATAAGAGGCAAAGAATAAATAAGATTCCTCAAGATCGTAATAAATAGAAGGTGGAACCAGCGACTAAATATTATTTCCTAAAATACATCATTCTAAATTGGGATCAAGCACTACATTCCAATTTCCCGAAAAAATTACGCGTTTTGACGATATTATAAAGTGATCGCTCCGTAGAAAAAAGGCATCTTGCTCCCCGCTGGCATTTAGCGCGTAAAAGATGACGAAACGAAGGGCTTTCTATTTTATGGTAGCACCCGGAACACATATTTTGCCTGTCAGATCCGCGAAAGACAGGGCTTTAATTCGGACATCTTTACAAAGCGGCTTACAAGCCAAGAGAGACGTCTCGAAGGGCTATGAGAATGTATTGAAAAACGAAGACACTCCCAGGAGAAAGCATCTTCCAAGTTACTTGGAATAATATAAGATCTCTTGTAAACAATAAATATCTACACCGATGTGCTTGAGACCACGTACAAGTCTAGCCTTTTTAGATTCTGACTTCAAAATATTTAAAATGACAATCAAGAGAAACATTAAAGATTTACTGGCATTACTCAATTGGTGGAAAAAAACCTTATAACACCGATGATTTGTTCTATGGCCCCTTGGCTTATCTCAGTCTTGAACTTATACTGGGCAAAGACTCTCCAATTTCGTTTGATAACGTTAACTTTACGGCTATATAGTTGGAAGGGAGACTAGAGATGAGGACTCCCCAAGGAAAATATTTTTAAGTTCCGGGTTGTCTTGGCAAGCGGAGTAAGAGAGGAAAAGCATCATAGTGGGTCCTCAACTTACGACAAATACGATGCGTTGTAACGTGATTTTCCGTGTAAATCGAAACGTGCCGAGATTTTCCGTGAATAAGCACTTACGCCCCTCGCCTATGCTAAAGCAATATTAAAGTAATAATTTTGAACATATCTCTGACATATCTTAACATAAATAGGACTAAAAAAATCACGTGAAGGACATAAATATAATAAATATAATAAAATGAAATTGTTTTAAGCGGCATGTATATTTGTTGCCAGTGATGTCATTGGATTTCGGTAGATGAGGTGACAAAGCGTAAGTTCTGGTCTCTCTTGCAAATTGCGGAAGCAGCAGCAAATCCGGGGAAGAAAAGAAAACGTGACAGTTTAATAAGAAAATGTCTTTATCTCTTACAGGGAAACTTAATATGTATACACATATGTACATGTATTAATATACATAAAACATGTTTTAAGGTACATAAAAACACAACAAACCAAGGTCAGTGGTGAAGAACATGCGTATGTATATAGTCGTATGTACAAGGCAAACAGCTTAAGTCGACACAAGATTAATGGAAATCGCGTCGTAACCACGATTGGGACTGTCGTAACCCAGGGAATTACTGTATTGGTCGCTTCCAGCATAGACAATAACTGCCGTGTGTTCTGGAGCTCATTTTTTCCCCCATATTGGTTCTAATGTGTTTAAAGCTGAGGAAAACCATCAAATCCCACAGGTGCCGTAGTTGTAGATTAGTTTTTCTAACAGGTCCGGCTTCAAACGACAGCTATCTTCCCCGCCACCGCCACAGCCGTGTGTTAGTTTTTTTGTTATTGCATTTCTTTTTTTTTGTTGCTCCTTCTCTGAGTTTTCGGTAAAAGGGGTTCATTTTTTTTTTACTTTTTTGAAAAGATGGTGGAGGATGGATAGAGTAAGGGCGAAATGGAGATTTCATGCAAGGCAGTGAACGTTTGTGCATTTATTTGTCTTTTTTTTTTTCTTTAAGGTTTACGTTTATCTGATATTGTTTCTGACAATGATGCATTGAAAACGTTATGCTCTGTGAGTCTCTAAACGATTAATATGCTACCAGGCTATTTCAGTTTATCCCCTCTTCTTATTAAATATTCCTGAAACATTGCAGGATATGTAAATTTGATAAAAAAATAAGAAAAAGATAAAATCTAAGTTATAATTAGTTAAAATCTAATTTTTTCTATGATACAGTTAATGCAAAAAAAGTCAAGCTTCACGTCAATCACGCTTAGTCTCGTAATGTAGATTTTGTTCTTGTAAAATAGAATTATTTTTTCTGATGGCACCGGTTCATCGCTGAAACATGTCAAAGTAAAAGTCTTTAAAAATTGTCTTATATATTTACCATCCAAACAATTTAATTAACTTGAACCAACAAGTTCTCTGTATTTAATTTTTTTATTGCATTTTTCCAATTTAAAAAAAAAAAAAGATGTTTTACATTGGGATAAAAATTATTAAAAAAAAGTTAATGTTTGTTTTCTTATTTTGTTTAATTACTTTCGACCGTCTCAGTCATTTTGAAGAACCATGTGGTGTCTGTGTAGTAGGCAAGATAGCGTAGGCTATATACTGATATTCATTGGAAAGCTGAAAGTTTAACATAGTTTACAATGACGTCACAGTAACGGGTAATGGGGCGTGCAGGAACGTACTAAAATACTGAGTTTCATCATACGTATATCAAATATTTTCCTGCACATTTCAAGGTACAGTCCCCGATAGACGAAACGTCGTCTTCGGTTCAGCTCTTGTCCGAGTTTGGTCCATTGGTACCTCCATGACAACGGCGCGGAACATCGTGAATTTTATTCAGAGGGAGATTGTGTGGGTGTTTAATACGCGCTTGCAGAGCTTTCCGTAGGCCCAATGAACGGATTTGATGCGGGGGCGGAGTGTCGATGCCTCATCGTATGTGAGAGAGTGTTGTCGAGCTATTGAAAGTCATTGGCAACTTTCAGAAGCAAGTCCCCTGTTTTTATTATAATTTCTGGTGTTTATTGTGCAGGAAATGAATAATTGCTGTCCAAATATACCATATTTATTTTTCACACACACACACACACACACACACACACACACACACACACACACACACACACACACACACACACACACATTGTGTATTTAGGCAGCAGTTCTTCATTTATGCATGTTTCCTTAAAAACGACAGACAAGGTATTACGATTAAGATTTTTATTTAATTTTTCTTGTGTTAAATAGATTAAAAATAATGGAAGCCTTAATAATAAAAAAAGAAAAAAGCCAACACTTAATAATATTAACTACGAACACGGCCACAATGTGCTTACTGTGTTCGGGAAATAAAACATCTCTATAACACTAAAAGCATACACAGGATGCATATACCCAATTAAACTGAAAAAAATAAAATCATCCTTGATAATGGCTAAAAGTATAGCCGAAAGCACTCGAAATTAAAGAACATTTAGACAGTTTTTACACACTCTGTGTCCAAAAAAGAAAACACTAGTCGATCTTTATGCTTCCCTATTAATACTCCTTTTGTTTCTATTTCGTCATTCGATTTTTGTTTGACTTTACTGAGTCGTTTCCCGCTGTTCTCCACAAATTCTCTTTATTAAAAAAAAAAATCAAAAATCTAATATACTGTTATGGTCCAGTTCCTTGTACCACGGTAAATAGTCCAAGGTAGAACCAATAAAGAAGAACTCGAATACGGATATGGAATAACACAGATATATTACAAACAGGAATATATACAGAGAAGTATAAAGTGTTAGTACGAACAATCAGGTTTAGTAGAGAGAACAATGTAGTCTCGACCAGTATCACTATTCCAATGTCTTGTAGTAATTGTCTGAAACGCGACTCTGTTTCGGACTGCCTCTGACTCGACTCTTGACTCGACTCCATTTGAACTACTGACTCCACTTCTTCCTTGCCTACTCCTGAGGCGCAGTATTTATTAAGTATGGAATAGTCCATTATTATTATTATGGGTAAGATCCCATAACATATACTTTTTGATACTTTATTTGAGGAAGATGAACTGATTTACAGTTTAATTAATCTGATTTGAAACAAATATTACTTTCAGTTTAAAATATCACAGCAAAGCATTTTTAACATAGACGTGGGTGTTTTAATGAAGTGCTGACAAGTTTCTCCATAGACTTATATTTGGGATTTTTTTCTACGGGAGACATAGTTGTAAAAATTACTTGATAAATATAACGTGAGCGCGTTTTCTTCATTTATTTTTTTAACTACCCAGTAATCTTAAAAATTTAGTAAAATATTCCAAGTAATCTAATATTTTATTGAATTTTAGGTAGTTTGGCCCAATTATGAAGACACTTGTTAAGGAAATATTAGAAAATAACCAATGAATTTTAAATTTACTATGGTTACTGTTCATAATTTTTGATAATGTCATGTATGGACGTTCGTATTTCCAAAAATCGGCACGTTTATACTCCCCCCACCCAAAAAAAAACAAAAAAAAACACATTTTAAATTCTTTTTTAAAATACTGGGGGGTCACTGAATTGTACTAAGTTTTGTCATTTATGATTATTAAATATAAGTTTTACTTCATAACAATATCATCTAACCGTTACAAATTAATATAGAATTTTAAAAGATTTAAAACATAAATTATTCTAATTAAAATCCGTCCTGGTTATGACGCTAAACTACGTCCAATAGCAAAGCCTCTGATCAGGATGTTTTGAGGAGCGTGGGACCACCTCTTAATTGCTGGTGTTCCCAGGTTCACCCTGACCCGGAGTGGTAGCACCTGTTAGGGGGGTCCCAGCTATGGGTAAATAGTTGACTCCCCAAACTGAGGTCAAAACACTATGAAAGTATAAAAATAGACTTTATACTAGCAATACATTTCTGAAATATATATATATATATATATATATATATATATATATATATATATATATATATATATATATATATATATATATATACCATCTATACATTTTTGAGAAAAAAATTACCAGCGATACATTTTTGAAGGAAAAATATTACCAGAAATAGATTTTTGAAAAAAATATTTCCAGAAATAATTCTTTGAAGAGAAAATATTACTGGAAATAGATTTTTTGAAAACAAAATATTACCAGAAATAGATTTTTGAAGGGAAAAAATGTTATCAGCAATACATTTTTGAAAAAAAATATTACGAAGAACAAAAATCTTTACAAATCTTTAATAAATATTTAAGTAACCCATTTGGGTCGATATCCCGTAAAACAAACCAAATCAATCTAATTAAAACATACTTTTTAAAAAAGACAAACAATTCTTCTAAAACATAGATGTTCAAAATTGTTTAACCTTTACTTTGTTAGGTTAGACATCTTTTCCCTTCTGCAACGTCTTTTATACAAACAAAACGTTGCAAGCCTGTCACTAGTCTGTCGCTATTTCTATGGTAAATGTTCACATGAACCCCTTCCTTTTCCCATTGACATTTTAGAGGACCGAGAGTCATTATTATTCCAAAGATACTTCGAACAAATAAACTCATTTAATATGTTGCATTTGATGCAAGCACAAGATTTCGACATATTCATCCAACAGCCTTCTTCAGATTTACAATGCTAGAAAATAGAAAGCGTCAAACTGATTATGTTAAAGAAGTTGAAACTCATAAAGAATGAGATCAGTAGTCTAAGCAACTATTATCATTATTATAAGTTGTGCTATTTGGAGCAGCATACTCATCTCGGTTGTTATACTCACAATGTTTCGTTCTTCGTATTTTCTGTGTTTTTTGTTTTTTTTATTATTTATGTCAACAATATTTCGGTCATTCTACTAACCACTCCCTTTAAATTAAGAGTGGCAAAACAATGAATGAAATCAAAATAATATAAAACAACACTGGAGGTTAATGACGACTGAAACAATCAGTGCACATAGTAGGCTTTAGAAACCTACTCAGTAGACCTAGCATAAAGATGAACATTAGATGGATGCCGCTTATTAAGAAAGGCATAACATTCGAAAATACTCAAACAGCCCTACCGTATGATTACAAACACTAAGTTCAAAGCAGCAGCATTTCAAAGCTAGATTATTGGTTTAGTATGTTAAAGCTGTGGGGTCACTCACATCATACCGGCAGGTATATCCTAGTGTTCACAGGAGTAAAAAAAATAAAACATACAAGGAAATAACACGAAAAGCATGTTAAATTATGTACTGGTGTTTGTGTGTGTATTTTAGTTATTTGTGATTTAACTTTGCATGTGATAGAGGAAGAAAGTCACTTCGTCTTATGACAAACAAGATGCCGAAGAGAAAAGATGGACGTCTTGACCCTCTGAGTGTCCATAGCGAAGAGAGTGAGTTCGGTGCTTTTTGGCGCGAAGTATTTAAAGCAGGAAGGTTTTATGTTGCATGCTGGGATAACTTTTATTATTTTTGTTTTCATTTATTTTATTTTAAACAAAGTTTTAATGTTATTTGTTTTATTTTATTTATTATTATTATTATTATTATTATTATTATTATTAATAATAATAATAATAATAATAATAATGATGATGTCCCTACAAAGCAATGGTTAATAATTCTCCTTTTCCATGGAATTTGTGATTTCAATCTTTGTCTTTGGTAGAGCTGAAGAGTTGTATATTCTGGTTCGGCGGAAGAAACGAACAAGTGTCACAAATGTGGATAAAAATTGGTGATTATGGACATGCGAAATACTCTGGAGACAACAATTTTCACCTAGTAATTGAATAGTTTAAAGAAGTTTGCCAAGTAGAGAGGTAAACATCTGAAGAAGAGCTTAACAACCGAAACGTTATATGATAACCAATCAGTACTGGTTTGAACCGCACACATACAATAATACTAAAAAATTTCAAGGAAACTCTTAGTTTAATTAGAAAATATTTAATGGCAGATATGATTTAATTTTTTTATTTTTTATTTTTTTTTATTTAGGGCAGCAATTATCTAAAAGTCTTCTTGAATTCGTGTGGTCTACTGCTAACATCGACATAGGTGTTAGGTTTTTTTTATTCAACTGCGCAATTTTCATTGACTTTACTTCGCTCGGAGAGTGTCGAATGTATTTCAGTTCAAGACAGACTGGTTTCTATAGCCTTGGATGGTAACTGGTCTAGGAGAAAGACAACTCTGAATTCAGAAACCCGTGGGGCGTCGTTTGACGACCTTGCGGCACGTAGTGCACCAGGTCTCTGTATTCGGGCCTTCAAAAAGTGTGATTGGTTCTGTACAAAGCCTTCACCACTATAATCAAATCATATGTGCTGGTGTCTGGGCTGTCGGTTCCTGGGAACTGAGCTGCTTGACCCTCATACGTTGAATAAGATTAGAGAGTTCACCATATATATATATATATATATATATATATATATATATATATATATATATATATATTGTAAAATCCGTAAAGATTTGATCAACCTGTCTTCCGCTAAATACCTGTAATCCTAAAGATAGGCAAACCAAAAACATCGTATAATTAAAGTCGAGATAAACACAAGCGAAAATATTCAAAACTACCAGCTTTCATTGTCACTCACTGACGTTCACGGAGATCAGCAAAACTCACAAATATACTTCCCCCATATAAACATTCTCTACGGATTTCGCTTGTTGTCTACTGACATGCACATTGAGTGAATCACAGTAAAAAAAAAAAACAAAAAACAAAAACGAATAAATCAAAAAAGGCGTTCGTATTAGATTGTCTGGCTGTAACGTTTACATTCATCCAACAGTAACACAAGTTATTATGGACTTATGATTCGTATGCTGAAAGATAAATAATTATAAAATATGTAATGTTACTTCGGATAGAAGTGGCTTTTAAAAAATGTGTCTACCCTGACTTGAAGCCTCCTTGAACTGTTAACAGGTTTTGGTTTCTGTTTAAATGCCTTAAAACCACATTAGTAACTTGAATCCTGAACCATCTATAGTTCACCTCATCAAAGGTCATTGATCACGTGACTTTCTTTCTTTCTTTCTTTCTTTCTTTCTTTCTTTCTTTCTTTCTTTCTTTCTGTGTATTTCATTTTTTTCTTTCTCCTTTTCCTTTCCTTTCCTAATTTTCTTTCTTTCTATTTCTCTTTATTTTTCTAGTTCCTTCTTTATTTGATCTCTTCTTTCTTTGTTTCATTTTACATATTTTTTTTTATTTTTTTTTAAATTTTTCTTTCCTTTGCTATTTTTTCTTTCTTTTCTTTAGCGTTTTCCTTCTTTTTCATTTTCTATTTTCCTTTCTTTCTTATTTATTTTCTCTTTCTTTTTCTACTTTTCTTTCTTTTCTCTTCCTTCCTTCCTTCCTTCCTTCCTTCCTTCCTTCCTCCTTCCTTCCTTCCTTTCTTTCTTTCTTTCTTTCTTTCTTTCATTTTCTTTTTCTTTTTGCTTTCTTTTATTCCCTTATTATTTCTTTTTGTATCTTTTCTTTGCCCATTTCCTTCCCTTTCTTTTTCTTTACTATTTTTGATTCTTTCTCCTTTCTTTTCGTTTCTATTTTACTTTCTTTTCTCTCTCTTTCTCTCTTTTTCTTATTTCCTTTTACTTCTTTCTTTCTTTCTTTCTTTCTTTCTTTCTTTCAATTTTTTTCTCTCGCTGTTTGCAATTATTCCCTCCTCCTCTCTTTACTTAGAACTGTTCCTATCTGTCCTACCACGGACAAATGCTATCGCTGGGAAAAAAGGATTTTCTAATCACCGGATGTACTTATTTCAATAGATTACCAAATAAAAGTAGTCTGGAATAAAACACTGAACCGACCAATGGTCAAATAGTTAAACTCTTTCTCTTGATAAACATATATCCGTAAGTGCGGGAGAAAATGTTCAATAATTGCTTAAGTAAGCGGACAAATTCTATGACTGAATGCAATGTGATATGGATAATGTGTAAATAGCTTTGTATATGTGTATACATCCATTTTAGTAATTGAATATGGACGTACCGACCAAACATTAATCCAAGTCTGACACAAGGCCGCAATAATAAAGCAATGAATCATGATTTAATACAGTTCATTACCCAAATACTAAGAAAATAGCTTCCTCTGTGACAAACGCCGTTACGTCTATTGGGAGGTATACAAAAATGCGTATTATAAAGGGTAACGGCAAAGGCCTGTACTTCATTTGGTTCGGATGACTTGTTCAAATTCCCCAATCTTTTCTGGTATACAAGTGTATAAGAAAAGAGAGGAAGTATAATGCAATGAAAGAAAGAAAGAAAAAGTGACAGAAATAAAGAAAGGTGAAAAACAAACAGAAAATCAGGAAAAGAAAAAAAAAGCGTATAAATACTTCAGGACGTGGCTCTCCACAGTTTCCTATTTGTAGCTCTAAGCAATGTGTGTCCCCTTTGTATCACTTCTAGCCTCTGGTCTGACATTTGTTTGATAGGTTACTCGATATTTCTTTCTGACCAACGTGAGTGTCAATTTCTCCAAGTCCTCTTTTCTCATTATTCTCACTATTTCATCTATCTATTTCTGATTGTAAGTACAAGAGTCCATTTTGTTTCCATTTTCCTTAAAACTTCCTTATTGCTCATATGCTCTGTCCATGCCATTCTCAGCATCCTCCTGTAGAACCACATCTCCGGGGCTTTAAGTATTGTCTTCATCTGTGAGGAAATGGTCAGGCATTCACTATCATGTAGGAGGTCTAAAATTAAAGAGGTGGAAAGAAAGGCGAGTAGAAAAGAAAAACATGTGGTAAAACAAAGAAAGTGGAAAAGGGAAGAAATAGATAGATAGATAGATAATGAAGAGAATGAGATAGATAGATAGATAGATAGATAGATAGATAGATAGATAGATAGATAGATAGATAGATAGTGAAGAGAATGAGATAGATAGATAGATAGATAGTGAAGAGAATGATATATATATATATAGAGAGAGATAGATAGATAGATAGATAGATAATGAAGAGAATGAGATAGATAGATAGATAGATAGATAGATAGTGAAGAGAATGATATATATATATATATAGAGAGAGAGAGATATAGATAGATAGATAGATAGATAGATAGATAGATAGATAACGAAGAGAATGAGATAGATAGATAGATAGATAGATAGATAGATAAATAGATAGATAGATAGATAGATAATGAAGAGAATGAGATAGATAGATAGAGAGAGAGAGATATAGATAGATAGATAGATAATGAAGAGAATGAGATAGATAGATAGATAGATAGATAGATAGATAGATAGATAGATAGTGAAGAGAATGATATATATATATAGAGAGAGATATAGATAGATAGATAGATAGATAGATAGATAATAAGGAGAATGATATATATATATAGAGAGAGAGATATATAGATAGATAGATAGATAGATAGTGAAGAGAATGATATATATATATATATAGAGAGAGAGATATAGATAGATAGATAGATAGATAGATAGATAGATAGATAGATAGATAATGAAGAGAATGAGATAGATAGATAGATAGATAGATAGATAGATAGATAGATAGATAGATAGATAGATAGATAGATAATGAAGAGAATGAGATAGATAGATAGATAGATAGATAGATAGATAGATAGATAGATAGAAGAGAATGATATATATATATATATAGAGAGATATAGATAGATAGATAGATAGATAGATAGATAGATAGATAGATAATAAGGAGAATGATATATATATATAGAGAGAGATATATAGATAGATAGATAGATAGTGAAGAGAATGATATATATATATATATATATAGAGAGAGAGAGAGAGATATAGATAGATAGATAGATAGATAATGAAGAGAATTATATATATATATATATATATATATAAAAGAGAATAAGATAGATAGATAGATAGATAGATAGATAGATAGATAGATAGATAGATAGATAGATAGGATAGGATAGGGTGAATGAATGAAATAGGGTAGAATGAATTTTCCGAAATAAAAAAATAAACGAAGAGCTGAAATCAAATTTTGAAAGCAAGTGTGTCATCTGTTGATCAGGTTGAGTCATGAATAATTTCCGGTTTTGTCTATCGCATTTATTCTTTGAAAAATAAAGTACAATTATATTTTATTCAAATATATGTTCAGCATTATTTTCAATGACATGTTACCGCTTATTGGACGGACCCTTTGATACTTTTTCAGTAAAATTCCACAGGTTTTGGTGTGAAAAAATTTTCAACGAACTTTTGAATCTGATTTTCATAAAAGAATTTTTCCCCATTTGAAGCATTTTACAGAAACCAAAAAAGGTAATAATAGGTTGGATTCAAAGGTCAGATGAGTATGGCGGGCGGGCAGGGACAGAACAGACCAAACAGGTTCCAATTTCTTTTCCTTTATTTATTATATCAGTATAGTACCGTGCATTGGCATGAAAAAGAACTGTATTTTTCTACTGACGAACGTAGGGCGCTTTTCGACCAAACTTTTATGGAAAGTGGATTTAGTGTTTCATTGCACTTAAAGCACCTACCCACACTTATGCATGCAAATTCCATTCTCTCACGGATCCTGTCACGCATTGGTTTCGAAGGAATTCTCGATGGGAAATATCTACGAAAACGGATCAATAAGTCCGTAGAAGTGATTTTCGAAGCGTAGCTTAGGTTTGGCACAAGGTCGAAAGTAGGGGACACCCAGTGAGGATCGAACTCGCTACTAATGGTTCTAGCGAAACATGCTCGCTAACCATTGCACCACCTCTAATTGCCCTGAAATAAGTCCGTAGTAGTGATTTTCGAAGCGTAGCTTAGATGTGGCACAAGGCCGAAAGTATGGGGGCACCCAGTGAGGATCGAACTCACTACTCAGTCGTAATTGTTCTAGCGAGACAAGCTCGCTAACCATTACACCGCCTCGAGGTGCCCAAATGATTTTCTAAGCGTACCTTAAGGACGAAAGTGTGGAGCACCCAGTGAAGATCGAACTCACCACTAAGCTGTAATGGCTCTAGCGAAACATGCTCGCTAACCATTGCACCGTAGTGACCTGAAATAAGTCCGTAGTATGACGCAGTTATTAACTGAACTTTGACATGTCGATTTCATTGTATAATGTTTTTTTGTGATTAATATTCATCTCGGGATCAATTGACAAGGAGAAAAACTAAATATTTTTTGTGTAATATCGATCTTATTTTTCATGCTATGAAATTTTTAATTTTGAGATGTTCTATGTTGCATTTGTCGATCAGAACTTAATGGGTAACTATCATGGCGAACTGTATATCTATTCTAAACCATGGGTTATATGTAGTAAAATGGGCTGGTTGATTTTTAAGGAAATCACTTAAAGGAAAATTGATTGATCGATTCATTTTCTACAGGTTATTAACCCCTTTGCAAGTTATTTAAATCCAGAAAATATCTTTTGATTGTAAGATTTTTTTGTTTTGAGATAATAATGATTTAGCGATACAAGTCTTACTAATTAACCCATAGCTGAAGG